AATACCGTATTGCTCTTCTCTGAGCCGCCTGGTTTCTTTCCTCGTTCTACGCGCGGTCTTCTCTACTTCAGGGTCAAAAATTAATTCGCCTGTACGAGAAGAACGAGGCATAAACTAGAAAAATACCAGAAAATTAGAACAAAAATGAACTTAAAAAGAAACAAATAATTAACGCCAGTCCCCGGCAACGGCGCCAAAAATTGACAGGTGTCGAGCCTGTGCAATAATAAATACCTACTCGAGAAAAATGAATTTTCTGTGTATAGTAGTGAGTAGGGTCGAATCCACAGGGACTGGAAAAAATTTGATTCTTTTTAAATTCGAGACACGGGGGATTTTTATCAAAATGAAATTAAAAGTAAATAATTAAACAATTTAACTAAAAAATAATTAACCAAAAATAAATAATTAATTAATACAATTGTAAATAGCAATTAAATAAATGATAAATAAATTCTAGCCAAGGATACAACTACGCAGACACAGTCCATTCATCCGATCATTGATGCAAAGAAGGTTCACTTAATTTTATTAATAGGTTAGTTATAGTCGCCGATAAAATCTAACGACCAGCTTTTCCTTAATTTATTGATAACCAAGGTACGACCGTTGATTACCCCTAACCAGGAAATACTCCTAGGTACGACCGTAGGAATTAATTTCCCAATTGCATTAAAAACTAGAAAAGCCTAACCCAAATTAATAATACGCTACGAGGGTTATTTAAATCAGATTGCATGTTCTCCTAGTATGTGAAAATACTAGTTGTCACTAATATTAACCAACTAAACAATTACGGATTTAATTGATTAATTTGACAGGAGATTAATAAGTCAAATTGCACATCGGGCCCTTGATATCCAATTAACAAAATAATCCCATGGAAATTAAAATAGAAAACATGCAAATATTAACAAATTAAGGAACACGTAAAATTAATTAGATCTCACAGATATTTGGGACTGCGTCTTCGCGTTGATCCTTGACTAGAGGAGAAGATTAGCCACGCTTCATGATAAAATTCTCACGCAATTTAAATGGAATCAAATACATAAATAACTAACTAAGAATTTAGGAAGAAACCTGAGTCTCGCTAGACTCTTTTAAGAAAAGTTGCACACCACACAACAAGGAAGGAAGAACTCCTCCTCTGAAAACCAAAAACTATCTCTATCCTCCTACGGAGCTTCCTGGAGAGAAAACTAAAACTAGTCTAATGTCTTATGAAGCTTGTTCTCTAATTTTCCTCTGCACTAGTTTCATAAGAGAACTAGTTACGTAGGAAGCAAATAGAAAAGCTACTTTCATCATCAAAGTCCACCTATGGCTAATGAGTACATCTCCCAAAAGAAGAACACATTTTCTAAATCAATGTTACGTGGTCCCCGCAGAATTGTCTCCTTTTGATTTCTTATTGTTAGTGGACTTGCCAGGACTTAATAATAGGAAGGCAACTCTTCATCAGCAATTCCGTTGGTTTGCACAATTTGGGCTGATTGTGGAAAGCTTCTCACGTGTGGAGAAATCTTCTCAAGAAGGTCCCCTTTTAGCACTTTTCTGCTCCACTTTCTGAAATTATATCCAAATACCAAATATAAATATATATTGACAATTAAAGCAATATTTGGCAAGGATAAAGAGGAGAATTAACAATAAAATTACTAACAATTAACACCCTATCACTAGATGAGTTTAACTGTGCTAAGGGTACTATCCCAAGTGCCGTATGTACCAACTCAAGAGAATTTTAAGGGGCCCACGATCCAATTTAAGAGAGATTTTGTTTAGACATCAAATCAAAAGAGCAACTGATAGGCCTTTGGACCGTTAAACATTTATTGGTAGTTAAATTCTTTTGTGTTTTCAGTTTTAGATGCCTTTCGAGTTTGGAAATTATTTTCTAAAATTTTGTATTCTCTCCTTTGTACTTTCTTTATGTTTTAGTAAATTTGCTATTCCTTTACCCGTGGACGTAGATCAATTTGATCGAACCACGTAAAATTTTGTTTCTTTCTGTTTGATTTATTTATTTTGTTATTATTATTATTGAGTTGTCAAAAATCTTATTATTCTTGATGGTCAATTTTTTGGGACCTGACCTAACACTAAGCCAAGGTTCCTAGTCTCCGGGAGAACAGAACTCGCGTAAGCCAACTGACAGATTCTAGCAAATCAACATTCTTGTGGTTTGTGTTAATTGGCAAGATCAAGTATTGCACACAAAAGAAGGCTTCCTGTTAATCATCATCTATGGTAGATGATCACAATAAACAGCAGGACGACCACGGAGTTCACTTGCACAGTCTTTTAAGATTTAAGACATTGCACAGTACATCCTTTTTGACCTGGTACAAGCAGGGCTAAACCAGGTCTAAACAATGGCCTATAGTCTTTAAGATTTAAGACATTGCACAGCACATGAAATTTGGACTAATTTGATCTAGGATTTAATCAAGGGCCCTCATCCCAGGCATCTTACAGACTACCAGAGGAGACTTCTTGCACGCAGAGCAAGGTAAGTGAACAGCAACAAGTGTTGGAGATTAATGGGGTGTAGAGCAGAAGACTTTGGAATACAAACTCGCAGGAACGGTTGTCTCTTACAACCGTTCCTGCCCCATTTCCAATGTGAATCACCTTCTGACGCATTGAAGGCAGATAAGAACGGACTTCACAAGTTTCCTGAACCATCTCTATCATCACGTGTTTGTTTTCAAGCAATGAAAAGAAATCACACAACACCACCACCGTGTTTGGATTCCTATATTTAGAATTTTTTTTTGTAAAACAAATATTATAGTAATTTAATATATATATATATATATATATATATATGATAAAAAGATGATTGACAAATATATTTATAAAAAACGTAAAAAATTTTTGACAGAAAATGACACTTCAAATAATTTAGTTTAGTTAGATAAAATATTTTTTATATTTATTAAATTATTTTTAATTCGTAAACGAGTTATCGGGTCACCCATGGATTGATCCGAACTCGAAATAATTTTTTTTCGGATTAATCGGGTTCGACTCAATTTTGATCCGAACCTGCGAAGTTTCAACCCAAACTCATTAATTTCATATTAGGTTTGTATCGTGTTTTCAAATCGTGTCGGAAATTGCCAGCCCTACATAAAACCCATTTTTTTTAATTGGCGATATGTGAAGAACCAATAACCAATTTCGCTTCTTCCAGTACCATGGTTTGAACAGAACTCGCATAAGCCAACCTACAGATTCTAGCATATCACCATTCTTGTGCCTTGTGTTAATTGGGAAGATCAAGTATTGCACACAAAGGAAGGGTTTCTGTCAATCATATCATCTCTGGAAGATGATTGCGGAGTTCACTTCTTGTACAAGCAGGTCTAAACATAGTCATTAAGATTTAAGACATTGCACGGTACATCTTTTTTGGCTTGGTAAGAAGACCTTTAAACCGGCATTTCAGATTGATCCCATTGGAAAGCGCACAATTCGCGAAATGCCCTTTTTTTTTGGGATAAATCGCAACTATCCACTTCGATAAAATTTTACAGAGATGCACTTATTTTGGCTCAATAAAGTAGCAATGGTAGATTGGCTGAAGACAACTTTTAATTTGATTATAATTTTTTGGTTAATGAAGCGGAGGTGAAAATTAATTAGTCAAATGAATGATCCATAATGCAAAAACATTAGGAATTTCACTTCTTATTGTGCCTTTCCATAATGCAGAAGATCACAGTAGATAGACTAGATTGTGTGGGCTATATAAGCAGACCGCAAGAATCTGTAAGAGCTCAACCACGTTCCCAATACCCAGAAACTTTTAGGGGGTGCTTGGTTGGAGGGTATAGGAATCAAGAATTGGATTGAACCCCAAAATTGTTGCTTGGCTAATGGGTATAGATTTTGAAATCTTGGAATGATTCATGAAAAATCAGTCACTCTCAATATCCAAGTAGATCGGAGGGTTTTGATGAATCCCACATTTGATTCCCAAATCTTAAAAAAAAAATTTTATTTTTGTGATTTTTTTTAAATATATACTGGCTCTGTTTCTATATATTAATATTTATTTATTTATATATATAATATTTTTTATTTCAATTTTATTTTATAATATGTATATTAATATATATTTAATATACATATATAAATATATATAAATATAAATATTATAAAAAAATTGAAATATATATTTATATATTTATATAAATATATTTATTTCAATTGATATAATATATCTAATATACATAATTGAAATATACATATTAATATTAATATAATTTATATATAATAAAATATAAATATTAATTGAAATATACAAATTGAAATAAATATATTTATATAAATATATATAAACAAATATATTTATATAAATATAAATATAAATAAATTTAGAAATATATATAAATATATTTTAAACAAAAATATTTATATATAAATATATATTATTTATTTCAATTGATATAATATATATAATATACATAATTGAAATATACATATTAATATTACTATAATTTTTATATATTATATACATAATTGAAATATACATATTAATATATATTAATATACATATTATAAAACAAAATTGAAATAAATATATTTATATAAATAAATATATTTATTTATTTATATAAATATAAATATATTTATATTTATAAATATATTTTAAACAGATAATTAATATTTATATATGAATATATATATGGTGGATGAGTATGTGGGATAAGCATTTGAACGAGGAAGAAGAAAGATATGAAAAGAAAAAAGAAATTAAAGGTAAAAAATTGATTATTAAATTTGATACCCATTCCTTACCAATATTTACCAAGCACCCCCATTTGTAATCATACCTTTGTCCAAAACCCATACAAAGTTTTTTGTATGATTCCAATTACAATTCCAATTCCTAAGCTTGAACCAAGCGCCCCCTTAGTATCCAATCATCAGCTTGTTGCACATTATTCCATCTTCGCATCCAACAGCTCATTGAAGTTCCCAATACCATGTGGGGATTTCGCTCATCATCAACATTAGCAAACATATTTCTCCTTCTCTTAGTTGCCATGAACCTTTCAGTAAGCCATGTTTCAGCTTCTAAACAATTTCAAAATGAGACTGATCTTCTTGCTCTGCTTGAATTCAAGAATCAGATATACGATGATCCGTTTGGAGTCCTGAATTCCTGGAACCACTCACAACACCATTGCCAGTGGGAAGGAGTCACATGCAGTGCCCGACATCAAAGGGTCATGACCTTGACTCTAAGGGATAAGCACTTGTCTGGAACCATATCTCCTCATGTCGGAAATCTAAGCTTCATGAGGTTCATCCAACTTCCGGGGAATCAATTCCATGGTGAGATTCCCCAAGAATTTGGTCGCCTCTTCAGGCTAAGAGCCTTGAACCTGTCACGTAACGCAATCAGTGGAAAGATCCCAGTAAACTTGAGCTACTGCTTAGAGTTGATAAATATTAGCCTAATGGGGAACAATCTAGAAGGGAAAATTCCGATCGATCAGCTGAGCAATTTGAAGAAGCTTGAAAATTTTTATCTTGGCCAGAACAATTTGACAGGAGAGATTCCCTCTTCCATTGGGAACCTATCTTCATTGATCAGAATTGGTCTCGAGTACAACCACCTGGAGGGAAATCTGCCTATGGAGATGGGGCTCTTAAGAAGGTTAGCTGTATTCCTAGCCGCAGAAAATAATCTATCTGGTATAATCCCTGCCTGTATCTTTAATATTTCAGCCGTTGCTGAGATTTATGTAGCTGGCAATTCCTTTCATGGCAATCTCCCAACCAACATAGGTCTCACCCTACCAAATTTGAAAATTTTAGGTGTTGCGTCAAACAAGTTCTATGGAAACTTTCCAACTTCAATCACCAATGCTTCTGGGCTTGAGAAACTTGATCTTTCTAGAAATAAGTTTAAAGGCCAAATCCCAACTAATTTAGGAGATCTGACAAATCTTCAATTCCTAAATCTTGCTGTCAATCTCTTCGGCAGTCATTCTACGGAAGACTTGGACTTTATTGCATCACTGACCAACTGCAGTAATCTGAGCGTTATTTCCGTGAGTTACAATAATTTTGGAGGTAATATACCAAAAGTCATGGGCAATCTATCAAATCAACTCACTAAATTGTACCTGGGAACAAATCAACTGTCAGGAACTATTCCAGAAGGATTTGGAAATTTTGTCAACCTATATCTCCTTACCCTTGAAGAAAACCATCTTTCAGGGGTCATTCCAAGAGATTTTGGCAAATTACAAGATTTGCAAAGATTGCGTCTGGACCAAAATGAGTTGTCAGGACAGATAGTCTCCACCCTATGCAATGCCACAGGTCTATACTATCTGAACTTATCATTTAACCAGTTTGAAGGGGGCAATATATTTGACAATGTTCTTATGAGATGTCAAAATTTGCAATATCTGGATATATCTCATAACAACTTCACTGGAATTATATCACCACAATTTTTGCAGACGCACTCATCACTGATGTACATCAAAATTGGTGAAAATTCATTTAGTGGTTCTCTGCCTCCTGAAGTTGGAAAGCTTATACAGTTGGTGGATTTCAATGTTTCCCACAACCAATTTGCTGGAGATATACCCATGTCACTTGCTGATTGTTCAAATCTGGCGAATCTTTCCATGCAGGCCAATTTTTTCCAAGGAACAATTCCACCAAATTTGGCTTCTTTGAAGAGCATCCGGCAAATAGACCTTTCAAATAATAACTTGACTGGATCAATACCAAAGGAACTTGAGAAGCTTCAATATTTGAGGTACTTGAACCTTTCCTACAATGACATCGAGGGAGAGGTACCAAACACAGGGATTTTCAGCAATGCAAGTCAAATGTCATTGATTGGCAACGACAAACTCTGTGGAGGCATTCCGGAATTGGAGTTCCCACCTTGCCCAGTGATTAAGGGGAAAAACAGAGGAAAGCTGAAGGTTATCATATTGCTGTCCATTGTTTTACCGGCAACGCTTATGGTTCTTGGTACAGTGTTGTTATATCTCCTGGTATATCGAAAAAGAGAAAGAAGACTGGTGGCCGGATTCTCTAGCATGCCTACAAGAGTGAATAAGCTCTTGCGAATTTCTTACCATGAACTTCATCGTGCAACTTCGGGATTTTCTCCAGAAAACTTAATTGGTTCAGGACACTTTGGAGCTGTCTACAAAGGCACACTAGAAAAACATGGCAATAAGCTTGTAGCAGTCAAAGTTCTTGATCTTCAAAAGAATGGGGCTTCCAAAAGTTTTAAGGCCGAGAGCAAAACATTGAGAAACATTCGCCATAGAAACCTCGTCTCTATCATGAGTTATTGCTCCAGTATTGATTCCAAGGGTGATGAATTCAAAGCTCTAATCTATGAGTTCATGGAAAATGGAAATCTGGACCTGTGGCTGCATCCTTCAGAGACAACTGCTCAGGCAACAAGCTCAAGAAGTCTTAATCTTCTTCAGAAGCTAAATATTGCAATTGATGTGGCTTCAGCATTGCAATATCTTCACGACCACTGCGAAGCAGAGATTGTTCACTGTGATCTAAAACCAAGTAACATTCTTCTTGACAATGATCTTGTTGCCCATGTGGGTGATTTTGGATTGGCAAGGCTCCTCCCAAAACCCAACAACAGATCTTCCGAGCAGGGAACCAGCAGTTCTATAGCCGTAAAAGGGTCAATCGGTTACGCAGCTCCAGGTAATTACGAATGTTTACAGTCAAAATGTTACTTAATTGTGCACAGACTACTGTTTGGCACTTAAAAGTTGGCACTTTCACGGTTTATCATTATTCTTTTTTTATCATAATTTCCATCAGAGTTTTTAAACTTTTTATACTTCCTCTTGAATATAAAATTCTGTTAAACAGTTATAGGAAAATTAAACATAACTTTGCAATGCAAATTAAAACTAATATTAAATAATAATAGTATAAAACAAGAAAAATATACATATTATTGAAACAAAAGGCAAGAAAATCTCGGAAGTCCATATGGAAAAGGAAAAAATGTATAGTGATTCATTTTAACAATTTCAATCAAGTCTTATTTTCAAACTAGTACTTAAACATAGCAGCTATATTTAATTTACTCCCTTAGATTATATATATATATATATATATATATATATATATCTATAGCTTCTCCTTTACAACATAACAATAATATATCTAGAAACAAAAATTCAGAGTATGGCATTCTTTTGTTTGAGATGATCACCAAGAGGAGGCCAACAGATGATATGTTCATGGATGAGCTAGATATACATAACTATGTTAACAGGGCTTTGCATGAACAAGTCTATGAGATCGTGGACCCGTTGCTTCTTTTGGAAGGAAGAGATGAAAACAGAAGAATTACTCATGGAGAGGAAACTATTAATGATGGAAGACAGATTCATTGCATTATTTCCCTATTGAAAATTGGAATGAAGTGCTCTGCAAAATTGCCAAATGATCGGATGCACATGAATGAAGTTGTCAGAAACTTACATCTCATTAAGGATGTTATACTTGGTCTGAGGGTACATCGAGAAAATCTTCAAGTTTGATAGCCACAGGTATACTCGAGAATTTAATACAGCCCACAAGTTGAAGTTCATTTTTTTTTCTATTTTAGATAAGTTCTTTTATTTTGGACGAAGTCTTGTAAGCTAACTTGTTTCTGTCATTCGGAATCTATTTTAGACCCAAAAAAAATAAACGGAAACAAGAGAAAAGTTATACTTATGTGTTGTGCACACTAGCATGGAAAAGGATGTCTTCTCGTACTAATGCTGGAAATCTTGATTTGCAGCTGCTTGCTGGTCTGAATCATCAAGATGAAGTTGCTAATTCGATGAACTGATAAAGAAGACATCTGTGGCTTTTTATTTGAAAAAATAAATGGATGATTCAAACATATTCCGAGTCTTTCTTTACAAGAATTGTATGTTTTGAAAGGTAGTCAATTGGCTCAATTCTGCTTGAACATCTTTATGCTTCCACAATATACATTATACAATAAGAGTATTTAGTCCATGCTTACTATTGGCCTGTAGAAACTTTCAGTCACCGCTTAATTGACAAATCTATTCTTGTTGATACTAAAATCAATCTCCATAAGTAGATGAAATTCCAGAACTGTCTGAAACTTGATTTCATCTCAGATTAGTGAGGAGCAATTTTCTATACTTGTCACTTTAACGAAGCTAGTGTTAGAGCTTCATCCGTTTGACCAATTCTTTGTGTAATTGGAAAACAAATATGGCAATTTTGAAACTAAAAAACCAAGTCAACCTTTCAAGGATTTTAATAAATTGTGATAGGCAGACTCAACCAATTCTTGGTCTAATCTTTTAGTCAAGTCAGCATATGAACCTTGTTCGAGATAAATTTCATGCATTCTCCTATCATTCTCTACACAAGTTAATCTTAAAGCTCAACACAACTCTTAACTGAAAACAAAGGAAAAAATTCAAATGCTGACTGACCAAGGAATAAAAAAAGCAAACGACTTCATTTAATATTAGAGGGCATGATATCAAATGCATCATCACCTACACAATCACTTCGTATGTTTATAAAGAAAAAGCAAGACATGCTAACAACGGCAACTAGGCTCCGTTTGGGATTGCAGTGCTTTTGGTAAAAAAGTACTTTTATGTGCTAAAAATACTTTTAAAGTGTTTGGTAAATATTATCTCATAAAACTAGAGCAGAACTTTTGGTATTAAAAGCACTTTTAGTAAAATCTAAAATTTTGTACTTTTAGAGTAGCTTTTGTGATTTAAAAAATAAAACATCAAATTTAGTCATCTTATCGTATATTATGAACTAAATAAAGAGATAAACACTTTTAAAAATTTTCAAATTATACATTATTCAATACAATAAGTATTTATTGAATTATGTCTCCAAACAATATATTTAAAAGTATTTAAGCAGTTGATAAGCACTTTTATTAAAAGTTCTATTACAAAGTACTTTTCAATAAGCGACCGCAACCCCAAACGGGCCCTAGAAAATCTTCTAGTCACTATGGACGCTTGTCAAGGCCTCCAAAAAATAATACTAATTCCACAATCACAAATAAGAAATTTTTATAGTATGATAGTGAAAGTTAGGTCGAATCCAAGGGAAATTTAATTCTAAATATCCTATAGGAAACTGAAGTTAGGGAAGAAAGGGGGATTTGAAATACGAATTGAATAAACAAATTCTAGAAAAATTAATTGAACTAATCAATTAAAAATGATTCAGTTCAAAGGTTAAACATCCACTTCATAGACTTGGGATGATCATTGAAGTGCAAAAAATTATTCCTGTGATCCAAACAAAAAATTCAATTAGCCTTAAAATAAGAAAAATCAAGACAATCAATAGTAAAATTGACTAGAAAAAGCTTCCAATTAATTCTTTATTCTTAAGTAAATTTACTATTGAAAAGTAATTCTCATTCGCCCAATAATAGCATTAAAGCAAAGAATGTAAATTTATTCCAAGAAACCGTTCAAAAGTTTAAATGATTTAATCTTGTCTTATTTCACCCTAGCAAATTAACATGAAAGGGCTAGACAATCAAGTTAATTCATTTTGCTTCTTGTTCTAATTCCTAACAATAATTACGGATTGAAAGGAACTAGAAAGCATGTCTGCAATCATCAAAACTACTTCAACAAGCGAGAAACAGTAATCAATTGCATAACAATGGAACAAAGGAGAAATAAGTGCCTGATTATAAAGGAATTACAAATGATCGACATTACTTCTCACAACCTAATGATGAAGATGGAAGTTTTTTCCCCTTGAAAATGCAGAGAAAATAGGATGCTCCTAGTGTCTTCTATTTCTCCCCATTTATAATAAAAGAACTACCCTTATCAAGGTTAAAATAAGAGATAATATATTTAAAAAATCTCTCAATTCCTACCAAACTTCTTTTTCAAAAATTGGATTATATTTGAGATCTCTTTTGGTTGACCAATGTGTAATCACTTGATAATAATATTTCCAAAATTTAAATGTCTAAGTGCTTCCAAGATACATCTTCCACCCGACTATCCTTGATTTTCGTTCATATCTTATCAAAACATCCAACATGATTTTCCTGCAAATCATAAAAAATATACTCATAGTTTGACAAATCCATACGTTAACTAAATCATAAGATAAATATATGCAAATATTGAATTTATCACACCAACCCCTTTTTTTTTGGGTCTCAAATAGGTTATCCAATAATAGTATAAGATCTCATCTTTCCCATTTTGTCCAAGTTTAGCTATTGATCCAATACTTAATGCCCCACAAGTAATTCATTATCTACTTGAATGCATTTTTGTTGGTTTGCTCTACCCAAGTACCCATACCACATCAATGTGTCTCATTTTTTATACGTAAAGATCTGTACGGATGAAGACAATAGATAATTGAAAATGTCTCTGGGGTAGATACCGAATTAAATCTGGACCTCTTAATGAGTGAGATAAAGGCAGAAATTAGATGAATGAGAAAAATGAGGCACTTAAGGTAGCTGAATAATTAATTGGAATTGAAAAAAAAAAATTGTCTGACCAGAATTGGACATTTAAAAAGGATCAGTGGGTAGTTTGCCCTAATTGAGTCTACTAATTGGGCTTTTCTCAAGTCCAAGTGGTCCATAGCTTTACTGTCATTTGTCTGGAGAAATTTCGGTTCTAACTTTCAACGACTGTCATTATACAAGTCAATAGGTCATAACACATGAATCCAGTCCCTGAGTCGAATTGAATTTTTGTCCATTTTGTTTTTTCGATAAAAAAAAAGGAGTTAATTTCACTCTCCAAAAATGTATTAATGACAACAAATATATTGTAATGGCTGCAACTATTAAAGGAAGAATCAGATGGAGAATTGAGACAAAGGAGAAGCAAGAGAAAGAGCAGAAATGAGTTGGATTTTGGGAAAGAAAAAGCGAGGCAGAATATTATTCAGAAAAGGAGATTTACAATCAATTTTCAGCTCCTCTTTTTATTGCTGCTTATTTATACAATAGAATTATTCCTTCTCCTAACTACTACTGCCAGCTTGACAGTAACTGTCTAGTAATTACCACTAATCATTGGTGCAAACAAAGTACTCCAAATGCTCCAACTAAAACTTGATCAATCATGACCTGATGATGATGATCATGGCCATGGGTCATAACATATGTTCACACATCCAACACAATAGAAGGGATTTTGTTTAATACTAAAAAAATAACAGAGGATAATACTGTAAAACTCTAAAATTTCTGACAATACAATATACACATTTGTATAGTTACAAGATCTGTGCATGTGCATATGGTACATCTAGTATATATCAATTACAAATCTCAAGACAAAGCTTAAAAATACAAGAAACTCTCACTCTCATGTAAAAAATTCAATGTGAAAAAAAAATTCAGCTAAAAATTTTAAGTGATAAGAAGTTCTCACCAAAAATTCCAAAAGAGAGAAGATTAAGTTTTTTTTTATCAATTTTAATAATGATGACATTTCACATTTATTTATCTACTAGATTCGAGCTCAAACTAATGGAGCGCAAAGGCTAGATTCTAAGACTTCGTAAAATAATGAAAAGTCGTTCAATGTCACGCAACAAACATTCATGTACAATTTAGCAGATGAGCGTAAGTTGTAACTAAATTTGTGATACTATTTGCGTTTTGTAAAATCTCAGGATTGATGTTTATTATCCATCTTCTGTTAAATTTAATTTTAGTCGTGTGCCAACTGGGAAGATAATTGATCATCTCTGATACTTCATATCAAACAGCAGAATACCAGGGAACCCTTTTTTTTTGGGTAAAAATTTTTTTGGATGGATTGGGCTTTGGCTTCGGCTCTAGTCATCATTGCAGGTCAGAGCATGCATCCGGAACCACAAATAACTTATAGAGGTTCTTACAGATCATCTACTAACACCGACCTCACATTGACAGCGGGATTCAAATATACGATCTTTTGTAAAGAAGTGATCCATTCTTACCAATTGAGTCAACTTGTGTTGACAGAATAGTAGGGATTTGCCAACTGAACCAACTTGTACCGGCAAAATACCAGGGATTCGCAAGTAAATACCTCAACAAGTGGCCCTTAAGACTTTGACTTAATTGTTTCTGATCTCCTTCACAAGTTCTCTTTCACGTTTTGAAAAGTATCAGTACAAGGACTCGGGTCATTTCTGCATTCGCCTAAATGCAAAGTTGGTGGAAGCTCACTGACCATTTTCTGCATTAAGTTTTGACAACGAAGTTCAGCTAATTTTCCTCGCAATTGTACCAATAAAATTAAATTCTTCCAGTTGTTTGGGCTTGTAATCGTAATGCACAACAAGAAGAATCTGTAACAGCTCAAACATGGTTCCCAATCCACCGAAACTTTTATCATTCGATCATCAGTTTGTTGCAAATTAATTCATCTTTGCCTTCATAGCTCATTGAAATTCCAAATGCCATGTGGGAATTTCGCTTATCCACATTAGCAAACCTTTCTTTCATACTTTTAGTTGCCATCAATTTTTCAGTAAGCCATGTTTCAGCTTCTAAACAACTTCAAAATGAGACTGATCGCCTTGCTCTGCTTGAATTCAAGCGTCAGATATATGATGACCCCTTTGCTGTGCTGAATTCCTGGAACCATTCACAGCACCATTGCGAGTGGGAAGGAGTCACATGTAGTAGTCGACATAATCAGAGGGTCATGGCCTTGACTCTAAGGGATAAGCACTTGTCTGGAACTATATCACCTCATGTCGGAAATCTAAGCTTCATGAGGTTCATCCATCTTGAGGAGAATCAATTCCGTGGCGAGATTCCCCAAGAATTCGGTCGCCTCTTCAGGCTAAGAGTCTTGAACCTGTCAGGAAACGCACTCGGTGGAAAAATCCCAGCAAACCTGAGCTATTGCTCAGAGATGACTGCTATTAGCCTAATGAGCAACAGGCTAGAAGGGAAAATTCCGATTGATCAGCTGAGCAATTTGAAGAAGCTTGAACTTTTTAATATTTATTC